CACGACACACACACACACACACACACACACACACACACACACACATATATATATATATATATATATATATATATATTACGTGTTTGTCGGTGTGTTTAAACATACAGGAAACATTAAATAACTTGTAAAATATTCTGGAAAGTGAATGCATATATATTATGTATGATGAATGGTCAGTGTGCTTGGTTGTGGGCAAGCTGGATCAAATACGCATCGGTTGTATTATCGATGGGTATACACATGGGTTAGCATGTATCGGCGATTCTCAGTGCATAGGAGATGTGTGCACTTGTTCACAACTATACGCAGGGCTGTTGTGCATGGTGTATACAAGTGTGTGAAAGTGCACGGGTGTATGTGTGATTGCCGTGTATACTGCTTAGCGGGTGTGTGTAGTGAGTGGTAGCCTGCTATCTCGAAGGATATTGGCTGTATGGTCGTTCTAATCCGAGAATAAATGTCACCGGAACTCACTTCGATTCTTGGACACCATAGCCCCCCTCACGTTGCATATCAAAAAGCGCTCACTCACTGACATCTCACCAACGCCGTACAACACATCGCACAATATGGATGGGGCTAAAGCACCTCGATATTGATGATTTAAACTACGGAGTACATCATTATTCTACGAATAATACTTTTTTATCATCTTGCTCAATGAAGTCTTTCTTGTTGTGGTTTTATGAATGTATCATTATTATGATTAGTGGATCTTCCATTATAATCTATGCTACTAATTTACACGCTCATTACTTTCAACACACCCCACAGATGCTGGGCGCAGGGCATGGACGGGTGGAAACGCCTCAACCAGATCACCCAGCTGAAGTGGAACCTCATACACGCTGGTACCCCTTTCATGAACGAAACGGAACTAGCCAGACTGTGTCTGTCCATGCTCAAACGTATGAGCGATTTCTTCCCCACCCGAGACTCCACGGGCGCCCTGATCCGACCTCTCTCGCGCGTGAAACGCATTATGTCGGATGTGTCGCATCTGCCGCATCTGATTTCGCTGGTATGTTCTGGGATGATTGTCTGTCTACGTGTTTCTTTGTTGGACTGGCTACTGGTTCTCTTGGACTATTTACGATTAGCCAATCCTGTTTTTTCGTGACACATGTCGCATTTCCCATTAGGTTTCGCTGGTATGTTGCGGGGCTCGGTTGCTTACGTATTTTGTCTTTAGACTGGTTAATTCTAATTCAGCCAATCTCCTGTTCATGTAAAATTTTATCGGATATAATGCGTTTGCCCTCTACGATTTCGTTGGTACGTGCCTGGGTGTTTGTTTTCATCCATTGGACCGGTGCTATCAAGTCCAAAAAACTCTGTATATCGAGAAAGTCTGTTGGATTGGCATATTCGCCCTATATCATATCAGTTTTTAACATTGTTCTTGTGTAATGAGCTTTTGGATCTGTCACATCTAACTAAATTGATTAATTTGATTGTCATCCATATGCCGTTTAGAGTTTATTTAATTTTTAGCGTTTCCTCACAAATTTATTTGCATGTGATATCGAGTATGTGTGAAAAGGTATTCGCGTGGTGTGTTGTGAAATATGCTACAATAGGCTCATCAGATACAAACACTCGCGTGGTTCGGCCTTATGTTCCTGATTAATCATTCCTGATAACGATGTTATTCGTTGTTAACTATTGGGGTGTCCACGTCTGCCGCATATGTTGTCTTTGCCTCATTTTCGACTCGGGTGATGTGTTATTCGTCTGCTTATATACGTTGTAGTCCTGCCACATGGTCAATACACATTCATACAAAGTCACCACTAACCCCAGTAAAATTTTCCCGTTTTAGTTCTTGACCTTTGAACCGATCATAGTGGAGAGGTGTGCTGCCTTGCTGACAACGATAGTGGTAGACAACCCCATCATGCCCCAGTTGTACGCAACAGGGTGCTTCCTCTTCTGTCTCATGTACACGGGCAGCAACATCTTGCCCATTGCACGGCTGCTGTATGTCACGCACAACCAGCAGGCCGTTACCAGGGGAGATCACGGTGGTAAGTGTGGATTCTCAAAAATAGGGGTACATATTGTTTTTGCATGTGGATAGCGTACTGTGAGCCTAAACCTTATATAGTTTGCGCGTGTGACGTGGACTGTTACCTTTCTTTGTCTCACTGACACGGGCAGTGATACCGTACCTATTGCACGGCTGCTGTATGTCACGCGCAACCAGAAGGCCGTTACCAGGGGTGAGATCACGGTGGTATGTGTGGATTCTCAAAAATAGGGTTACAATTTGTTCTCGTGCGTAGTTACCGTACGCTGACCCAAATTGGAGTAATTGGAGTATGATCTGCCTATATGTCGTGAGATGCACCCTTATTTGTTCCTGTACATGGGCAAGTGACATTTTTTTCCGCACAAGGGCACTAACATTTTAACCATTGCAAGGCAGTTTGTTTGGCACACACATTCAACATGCCGTTACCAGAGAGACACTGGCGGTATTTATGTGCTCTCACAGTGGTTGTGGTTTTTTCTTCTGGTAATGGTTGTAAAATGCACCGTATGTAGTACATCTTGCTTGTATGCTGTAGATTACACATACTTTCAGTTGATTGTGAAGCCATGTGCGGCTACGCATTGCTCAGATGTTCTACTTCCTACACAATCAACAAGCCGTTTCCAGAGGAGACCAAGGCGGTAAAATTACCTGCTCACCGTAGTTGTACTTTGTTCTTGTGGGCAATAGTCGTAGTGTACCTGCATGTGTGATATACCCATTTACTCATCGATGGGGCGATTGTTTCACAAAAGAAGAATTATTGGAGATAGGAAATGCAATACCTGCCTAGAACAGCTAACCAACAGAATATTGATTAGTATAATACGCACTACTTACACACCACTTTCACACAACTGACACCCATGACATCTTAACATCATGGCTGTCTGCAGGTAATCCTATCGTAGAGAACAGTATTTTGGCGCCGTTGTTGCCTGCGGCCATGATCTTGTATCTGGACAAATATGGCCCGGTCAAATTCTCGGAGATCTTCTTGGGCGATAACGACACCCCGGAGGTCATCTGGAACAGGTATGTGGCTTCGGTTTGCCATTCGACTGTACGGAGTATATATATATGTATATGT